AATATATTGCAGCAGTATTCAGCTATATTAATGAGATTGATCAATTGATCTAGCAACTTTTTTTATTTGAGATTTGCAGCAGTGATGACTGAATATAAAAAAAAAAAATTTGAAGACCTCAACGCACATTGTCACAATCCCTATGCGCCCTTCACATTATCATCACTGGAAACACAGTACGGTACATCCCATAATATATTGCAGCAGTATTCAGCTATATTAATGAGATTGATCAATTGATCTAGCAACTTTTTTTATTTCAGATTTGCAGCAGTGATGACTTGTGTTTTAATGTACCAGGTTAAGCGATGCAATTGAAACTAATACCAAGTATAAACGGGAACTAATGCATCTAAACGAAAAAGCAAAGTGCCTATACCATGCTCTATACCATCTTATACTATTATTATTTCAAGACTTGCTCCACACGTCATAAACTTACATTACACAATATACAGGAATACTCTCATTGAACCAAAAACCACACAAAGGTTATATAGAAAAGCTTGTGTAGCACCAACTGAGCTGATACTTATCTATGCTGTTAAAACAGATACACCTTGTGACACGTGTGGAAGAACTGGGTCAGAATTCATCTACCATACTTCTCTATAGTAAAGCATTAACATAAATCATTGCATAGGAAAAATGGCCATTACTACTTAAACTGACAAATATCCAATATGCAGATTTCCTCACAGTTGAGCTATAGATATCTTGAATAAACTATTAACTATTAATATATCAGACATAAACAAATAAAATTGATGTGTTTATACTTGTGGTAAATATGACCTATTATAGTACACCACAATATGGACTGCTTTCTTAACAGAATTCCAGACTTCTTTTGTCAAAAACAAGTAAACAAGTTCTGAGCCCTTCCAACAATGTGTTGTAAAAATTGGCAACTTCAATCACAATTGAATTCTACAGAAAAAAAAACTAAATTGAAGGCCAAAAGAACATAGTTGAAACCATTTTCCCTCTTTCAGGTCTTTAGAAACTGGATGAGCGCCAATAACTTTGGCTCTAGAATATACTTTTGGGAAAGGGGGAGGTAGCCCAAGCTGTTGGACACAAGAACCCGACAGTTTCCAGCAGAGAACAGCCAGGTCCCGGAGCAGATAACTGGTGAATGGGGGCTAAGCCACACTCCTAGAGTAAATAGAAACTTGGACAGTGGATTTAATCGCCCTTTTAAGAAGATCCGCCCGTCATTTCTTTCTAACATAAGCACAATAGTACTACAGGCCTAGACACATACGCAGAGGACAGGATGTTTGGGATATTTTAGTAGTATAGTATTGCCTTGTAAAAGCAAAAGAAAAAAAGAAGCGCAAACATTACTAAAAGAGACAACAGAGCAAGTTTTTTTTTTCTTTATACTGGCGTAATCTAGCAAGTAAATTATAACCATTAACAATAGCGATTAAGAAAAAAAAAATGCGAGGAGGAATTAAAAACCAGTATTACTTCCTCGCAACTGTTAAATTAAATTATAAATTCCCATTTATCTTATTCTTGGTCATTTCCTTTCCTTCCTTAAATGAATATCCCAGAGATTATAAACAGTTGTCTGGGTAAAAAAAAAAACTTATCTTATGAGATACTTTCAAGAAGGCCTGGGAAAAAAATTTTGTGCCTACGAACATGAAAATTATCTTCATAAAATAGCTCCAGCTCCTAATGTTATCTGTTATATAGCCCAATAGCGCTTGTTTGGAGCCAAAAAAGCAAGAAACAGTTTTCACTAAAGAACTAGCATACTAAGAACATGGCTGCGAGAATCATTACACACGAAAGAAGTGGTTTTTTTTTTCATCTCAAGATCAATTCCTAGCATTTGCATGAAATCTAGAATACAAAATCGAAAAAAAATTATGTTGTAATGTCATAACCAAATATAAATGGTTGAATGATATTGATGATGCGAGGCAGAAGGTGAAAATAATTATAATATCATTTTATGTTAATAACTGTAAATAAATGGAATAGAAAAATATTACTTTGTACATGTGGGAAATTGTTGAGTATTTATAGGTCTTCACATTTTTCATGCACTGATTCTGAGCATTAAATTTAAAGCAAAATGTAGAGTTCCACATTAATCACACGAGACGCCATAAAAGTCGGACATGATACGACACGGTGCATACCTCAGCGATGTCTACCTCTCATCGACCCTTGACATACTTCTGCAGTAGGAGACATCATGCAAGGTACTGTAGTTAAAGTAGAATTCAATGCTAAATAAAGGAGAAGGGTTCTTTGTTCCTTAAAGTATAGGATCATTTGCTTTCTTTGTTTCCTTCACACCCATCAAAAACTTACAACAAATACAAAAAGAACTTTCAGTGAGATTCTCAAAAAACTGATTTGCATAATGAGGCATATTGTTTTTAGGTTGAAGTAATTCCAGCATCCTTATAGGATTTGAACCTAGGACCAGCAATACTGAACTGAACTCAAGATCAACCTAAAGTACATTATTTCATTGTAATTACTACTAGATAGATCCTCTGATAAAAACTCAACACCCAAATTTCAAGTAATTTTCACATGCCACAGATCTGTTTTTAACAAGAACCTGGATCGACGACGATGGCCTTGCATGCAAGCTTGCTTGTTCGATTTTGGTCCATCGTATATATATATATATATAATGTGTATAAGAGACAGTATATATATATATAACAGTTTTATTTAGGTTTCAACAGTGTGGACAATATTATTATTAGTATGAATATTTATACAATACAATATTAACATATAATTAACTACAGCAGAATTGTTGACTGATTTGTTAGTGTTCGTCTGCACTCATTTTTAAGCGTAGTAGTACACTGAGCCACTGGGTGATATTAAAATGCAACTCTTAGCACTGAACACTATGTGCTCTTAGAACATGTGCTCTGCATGCGACCGCATCACAGTCATACGATGGATAGTGGGCTATAAAATAAACAATTTCTGAGCTTTCAACGATGTGTACAGTTTCAACGACAAAATATATTTATAACAAGCCAAGACAGTACTACCGATTTATCCATTAAGTTTACCACTTTTGTGTCTATTCATAGCCCTTCAGTAAACCAGACTACCAACCACAGAGGCCTACTGTAAAATCACCAGGCCTACAGTAGCTAATAATTATTGAGGAATCTACTTATTCTGGAGGTCAAGAATCTCTTTTTATATTGGATTATAAAAGAGACTAAGGCTACGGACACACTAGAGTCTCAAGCCAGGCTTGACTCACCGCGGGTGGGATTTCAAGCTAGGCTCGAAAAATTCTGGGTCGGTCACACTTTACCTGAATTTAGTTGGATTGACCTCAAAATTAGGAAAGTCGAAACAGGAAGTTAGAGCGCCGCTACAATCAAAATACCGGCCCCGCGTGCGCATCTAGATGATCTAGGCCTAGGCTCGGATGTAATGGCGATGCTAGTTTTCGAATTGATAAGTGCATTTATAAACAACTGATGATTGCTGCAGGTTTTTTTATTCAGGAATTTCTAAACGCAACGGCGTCATCGACTGTGATTGTTCGACAGCCGACGAGGAAATGTCAATCCCAGTCACGCCAGGGGAAAGAAAGATCCATTATGGCAGTGTGAATCCCCAAATCTGGTGCATGTCCAGAGCGCAGAGTTTGAAGGGAAGGGGGGGGGGAGACAGTCCAGGGATTGAGAATCCAAGGGTAAAGCCACACCAGCTACAGGTTTAGACACCTGTTTCAGCTATTTTAACTATATATTACAATTTTATGTTATCGGTGGCAACATTTATGGGGGCAAAAAATAGAATTCTAAAAACTTTTACGTGACAGATATGATATGGGTATGATGACGTCATATCACGTATCAAATTGTATCAAAAAAAGCTGAACATGTTCAACTCTATGTTCCCTCAAATTTTATGTGATGCTTCTTTTGACGAAATTTGATAGTGTAGACAAATCTTAATAGAAAAATGCACTGCATACAATGTCCTCCCTCATAATTTTATGCCCATGAGTTTTAACTAAGATACACAGCTCAATATTTGTCTATTTTTATGGGGAATAAATGCAGTTATTTATACTGAATGCAAAAACAAGATTAGGTTTTAACACCTAATTCAAGCAAGTTTAACCTTGTTCATCTTTTCATGATCTAATACTCTACATTCACTTTCATTTAATGAAACTGTGAGCTAATAACAACTATCAAGGTACTTGAAATAAAAAAATCATTTTTAACTAGGCAGCTACACATGGAGTGTTTGATTGAGCCTCATATCGTATAGTGAAGCGTGATTGGACATTAGTCTTTAAGCTAACATAATGTGACCTCTGACCTACAATGATTAGCATAAAGATTACAAGCATGTTGTACATATATTTTATTTAGTTGGTACAAAAAATCTTTTCTGAAATTATAATTATGAACAATAAATTATTCAAAAATATAACTTGTACCTTTGTCAATGTCATGTAAGATGGTTATTAATTTTATTTTGGAATTTTATTTCTGGCTAATGGAATAGTGATATATATATTTGGTGCTAGAAATAGTATTAAAAAATCTGATGCCATATTTAAATCGAAGAAACACTATACCTGAATATTAATTTACCTGCATTGAGTTACCAAACATAGCTGTCTCTTTATTGCGTAACAAAATTCCTTCAGCCAAATAGGTTAAAGGTTAAGATTTTCTTTAGCCAAATTGAAAATTCCCTTTTAGATTCCAAGATGGACATCAATCATAAAAACACCATCACTAGTTGAAATTAGTGTACTCTACCAGTTGCTATTTACACCAGGTGATGATTGGTTATTAACTTCTAATATAAAATATTTTAATTTTTAGTATTTCCAAATAAAAATAAAATTACCCTGATATTACATTTGACAACTGTTTCTTCAAAATATTATTAGAAATAAATTGTGTTCCAAATGTAATTAATCAAGGAATCTGATTAATTTATATAAATTAAAATAATAGCATAATTACCGTGTTTAGGTTTCACAATAACTGGTTCTTTAGCAACATCTGGTTCTTTTGTAACCTTTGCTTCCTCGGTCTCTGCCGGTTTTTTAACCACTGGTGCAGGCTTTTCTTTAGGAACTGATGGTTGAGGTACCTGCGGAGGTGGTGGTGGTGGTGGGGGAGGAGGTGACACAGAGACAGGCTCAGAAGTAGACGACCGTTTCCAGGCATTTACTTTAGGTGGGGGTGCATCTTCAAGAACCACTTTCTTAGAAGAAACTCTCTCGACATCGTCTTTAACAATCTTAACTTCCTCCTTTCCTTTCTTCTTATCCAGTTCTTTCTTATCTTTCTTATCGGAGGCATCGGCTTTCTCTCTGGCCGATTTCTTCTGGTTTTTATGGAACTCTTTGGCCCTTGGTGCAGCCTTCTTTGGGGCGGATTCCTCTTTTAATTGTCCTTTCAAATCAAGAGGCGGAACCACAACATCATTCTGTGGCGCTTTGTTACGGTGCCATGGGTTGACCTTTGGTGGTGGCGCTGCCACATACGTTTTCTTAACTGCCTTCTCTTCAGGATCCGTTGCCTCTTGGCAGTTACTATCATGCTTCTGGGCTGCATCAGGTTTCAAGTTCTCTTTGATGGCAACTTTGTCTACTTTCTCCGGATGTTGAGCTGAAGGCAATGGCCCTGTTGATTTAGCCTCTGGTTGAGAGGTATCGTAGCTAGGCTGCGTGGCCACTTCAGCCGCCATCTTGATTAAACCTTTTTCTTCTATCTTATCACTCTCTTCCGTTCCTCAAAGTCTGATGAATCCAAGCAGTGTAATACAAGGAAACTGCTTCTCTGTAAAGAAAATTTATCACACTCCAGTTAACATGGATCATAAAAATATAGACAAGGTCTCATAAATCATAACAAACATGATTTGTTTACATACTGTAGTACACAAACATTGTCATTAATTGTAAGAATTGTAGTTAAACAATATTTATGTCAGAAGTTTTAATAAAATTTCAAAGTTCAATGTTAATTTTTTCATAATGCTCAACATAGTGAAAATAGGGACCTTTCAATTAAGGCCAACACAGACAGCGTCGGCCGACGTAGCCCGACCCAATTTATCGCCGGGGACTGTCTTAAGCCGTCCTGAGAAATATTAAACACGTTTAATATTCTACTACGCGACTGCCCCCCGACGCACACCATCGCGTCTGCGTTCAACTCACACAGACCCGACGCGACAAAAAAATCGCGTCGGGCTGCGTCAGCCGACGCTGTCTGAGTTGGCCTTTACTACGCAACGGTAGAACGTAATGACGTCACTAAAAGAGAATGTTAAAAGTTCACCTCATCGAGTAGATTCTGGAACGCAATTTGGCAATTTTTTTTTTTGTGATTCCTTTCGTCGTCGCACAAATCGAAAGCGCCCTTATGGTACACAACTTATACATAATTTAAAAGAACATAATAAAAATAATAAGGACCACCACTGGAATCAAGATTAAAGCTAAAGCTAAACAATGCTTAATTGTGGCAAAGACAAGCCAAACCAGTCACTCGTCGCAAAAATCAATTTTGAGTTATTAATACAGTGTTAGAGAGTAAAATAATAGCTATAAAATGGTTAAAAAAATCATTCAAATCGGATATTTCCTTATGAAGTTAAAAGCGTTTAAACATATAACTGTTTAAAGAACAATATATGAGAAATCAGCCTTCAAAGTTTATGATTTCAGGCATTTCTCATGCAGAAACTATCTTCAAATCCTTAAAAAGTATTGTTTTAACATTGAAAATGGGGAAAATAACAGCATAGAATGATGTATAGATATATAAAGGTTCGTTTAGTGCAATAAAATAGATTTTTTTAAATTTGACGTTCCAGCATGTTTTTGCCATTTTCTTTGAAACACGATTTGCGACGAGTGACTGGTTTGGCTTGTCTTTGCCACAATTGTTAAATTATCTAGCATTAGGCCAACAAACAAAAAGATTGTTTCTTGTTCAAACTTGTGTTAAAAGAAAAATGAGGCTCCCTATTCTTCTTCACAATGATGGCTAATATTTTCTTTACAGACAAAAGATCAGAATAAAAGCCAATCAATAGACCTAAGCATTTTGGCTCAAAGTAATATGTTCCTGCTTCTTGCCCTAGATTAACCCTCAACAAGTTAAGGTACAATGTATCTGTTACATCACTGGCACAACACTACAGCATGACTTCCGAAGGTCCCCAGTGGCCTAGCCAAAATTTCTAATTCCGAATTTGGATTGGCAAAAAAGTTATCAGTTTTTTTTAATAAGTCAGATATTTAAAAAAAAAATTAAAAATCTGCTTTCAATGATTAACAGACATTTTACTGAAGGCCTAGTTAAAAAAAAAAAAAAAAAAAAAACATTACTTTTTTAAAATCTTAGGCGAGACTTTTTTTGAACCTTGTTTAGCAAACCTGCTGACTGACACACCTGCCGCCACAATTCCAAAATTCCAGAAAAATATTACAATTTTTCTTTACTTTTATTACGCCATCCGCTGCCTTGAAATCTTTAAAGATACTTGCATTTCTTCTTAATTACATAAATTTGATGCATTTAACCATCCTACTTTACATTCACCAATAAAATTTTATTTTTATTTTCTCCTCCGTCTGAATATTGTTGGCAAAATTATTTGCTAAATAAGAAAACAAAATTTAATTTTTATTTTTATTCTGCCCTCCTCTAATGATGATCTTAAAAAAAAAAAATTAAAAAAAATAAGTATGCGAAACAAGGAATAAAAATGTCTCGCTTTATTATTGGTTAAAATATTATTCACATTCTAAAAAAGACCTCTTTCAAGTAACTCAACATTGACAGTTTATCTAGGCACCATGGGCTTCATCCCCTGATAGCCCCAGTGACCACTGCCAGAAATGGTCAGATCCATTCAATTCAATTCAAATTTATTTGAGCATAAATCGACACATTACAAGTAACAAAACAATGAACAATAAAAAGATAATTTAGTAAAACATTTACAGCTCAGAGAGATTTTCCCCAGAAATGAACTATATCCACAATGAATGACAATTGTTTCAACAGTATTATTTCCACAACTGTCTATGCTTCACTTTTATCTTTTTCCTTGTGATGTTTACTTTGGGATTTCCTGGAATTTTCCCACCCGGGAACAGGTTTCCCACAAGACTTCCTTTGTCTCTTTATTTTTAAAGTAATTTTTTGGTAGAATGCAAATGAAATTATTAAGATAAATAAAACATTCTTTTTAAAAAGTTCTGAACTTAATGGGGAAAACATCTGACAATCTGGTGATAATTCAGATAATCCAAATTTAGTCATACAAAATGGCAATCAAATTTAGCATACTGTAGTACCCAAAATTAAATATTATTGTTATTATTTAATATCTTTCAGACCTCTTTTTTCCACTTCCTACTTTGTTAAATTAACAAAAATAACCGATTTAAAAATAATGATTACTGACAATTATACACTTTTTTAAAAACAAAAATAAGATACTGTAGGCTACTCAGCACTGTAAGCTTTCATCTTTTATATAATAAAGATTATAAAATTTTATTTTATATTCTAAAATTAAATTGGTCATGGTTGAAAGATAGCATTAAAAAATACACTAAAACTGTAGTATTTCATTTTTTTTCCTACAAGACCTAGCATAGCATATGATACTGATAGATAGATTGGTCAAAAAAGGTCACTAAAAATCAAGCCTCAAAACCTTAGTATTTTGAATGAATCATGTTCTATTTGACTATGTCATTGTCACTCTAACCAGGAAAAACAACTGGCCAGTGTAACAGTATTCAACAAGAACTGATAAAACTAAAATTGGTCATATCCTCTTCCTGTAGCACTTTAAGAATTTAATCTCATAACAAATTTAGGATTGTTTTCAAAAACACTCCATCACAACCCCACGCATATGTTCGTAAGGCCGCATGGAAAAAACCCTACCCTGCACAACAATAAAAAATAGAACTTGCTAGAAAAAAATCCTTGAATCAGATAAGATAAATATAATCTACTGATATTCCTATTTGGAAATATATTTTACAACTTACTTGATATAATTACCAGGTTTTTCAGCCTAAAACCAGTTAAAATTTAAGTCATAAGCCATAAAGGAATATTGTCGTGTTAGCTTGTCTGAACCACGTAGTTTCACAGGGACGAACACCTCATCGATAAGAACTTCACTCAGTCGCACGCCTTCAGTTCAGATGGACACGAAAATAAAATTCGCTGAAACGACTCAAGTGTAATGTATTTCAGTATTTTGTATAGTATTTCTGTTCAGTAACACAAAGTGAGCTGAGTAGTATCCTGGATTTGGAAAATAAATTCGTTTTTAGGCAAGACACGGCGTAAATATCGCTCCTTTTTCAATCAAAAGAGCTACGCACATGTCGCCATTGCCCAGCTAGAGACTGCTCATGCGCGAGAAAAAAATGTACGTAAGAGATGATTGAGGGCGGTATGAAGGGTTTCTATCTTCTTTTTTTTTCTTTTTCTTTTTTTTCCCCGATTCTGGAAAAATAAACAAACCATAATAAATAAATAAACAAAGGGTTACATCTGTTTAACTGCTTTATTTAACAGTTACTTTCATCGTCTGTAGAAGATTCAGTCTGTTTCGAAACTTTGACCAACGTTATTTTATTTTATGTAAGTTAGACTGTGCATGATAGTACAAACTCCTGAAATGAATGATTTGAGAAAAAAATATAACGACGATACACTGCTTGCATATCTTTCCTTCGGTGTTTCTTTTATATTGTACTGTAAAACATACTGATAAGACAATCCAAGTGAAACTTTCATTACTGTCATCTCTGTCATCATAATCTTTATAGCCATAAATTATTATCATTTATCATCTTTATTATATTTTTGTCTTATCATCGTTATTTGAGCTTCTTTTCGTGGTTAGGATGGATTGGATTGGATTTATTCGGCGTAAACACTAAGGATAACCCATTGGCGGATCTGGGGGTCCGGGGGTCCTGACCACCCCCACCCCTTTACACAAACAAGTCTGAGTTCCGAACAAATTATATAATTTTTTTTATAGCATATCTTATCAGTGGCGAATCCGGGGGTTCAGGACCTCCCGGTCCTGAACGTAATGTAAAAAAAAATACTACTGGGTTCTGCAGACTACAAAAGGCATCCTAACCTACCTAGGCAGGTTGGCCCAGATCGGACAAATAAGTTAGCCTAACCAAGGAGGTATACCAGTTATACCTCCTTGGCCTAACTAGCTGCCTTAAAATTAAAAACACTGCATGGTTCGCGAAGTCGTAGCATATTTTTTGTACGAAAGTGCGTTCTTCATGCTATCGGATCATCGATTCATGGAAAATAGAATACGTATGCAACTACTTTTTTTCTGTATGTAGGCCTACACGTACGCACATAGGCCTATAAGAATGAGAAAATTTACCTGACCGTTTTAAAGAGGGGAAAAAACTTGAATGAATTTTGAATAGGCCTAAGTTAACATTCATTAAAGACACCTCAGAATTGGGAACATTTCCAGCAATCTAGGAATCAACATTTCCAGGGGGAGGACCGGACCCACCCCCTTCTTTTTTGGGATTTTTGGCAACATTTTGCCCCTTTAATCGTAACTTGCATTCAGCCCTCCAGCTGATACAAGGAGAGCAGATGGAAATTTAAACGGGGGTGGGGGGGCACTGAAGAGATCTCCACCGTTCCAGAAAGTGCACACAGTCACGCTAGTTTAGCCTACTAAGCATGCAGCGGGGCGCCAGAAATTTGCCGACAAGGGCCCAGGATGTCCGACGGTCCGAGCCAAAGGGCCGACGAAGCATCATCATCATCATCATCATCATCATCATCATCATCATCATCATCATCATCATCATCATTCTTCTTTATTAGAAATCCTTGGCTGCTTTTTCTGCCGACATTTTCACTCTTCTTTTCATATGATAAGCATTTTATCCTTAATAATATCATCTATCAACTATCTTCCTCTTCGCTTTTTTGTTTTTTTCCACATTATAATTATAAGCTCAAACATTATCGTTATTGGAATTTCTCCCCAGGGAAGGGGATGAGGCTGCACGTTGTAGTATCCAATTTTCAGGACGAAAATGCACATTGAGCAGGTCTAACACGAATGTGCGTTACAAAATAAAATACTGTAGGCCTACATACATTATCTGTTGATCATTTTTCGTTGTAACAATTATTACTTCTTGCAATGTTTGCATGAACAAAAAAATGCAATCTGAATCCTTACGGAGACACTCGTCGTCCCAGAGTGCATTTGACATGCTAATAAACGTCTGTAACCAAACGATTTGTTGAAAATTAAAAAAAATAAAAAAATTATAATAAATTGAATCTTTTCAAAGTAAAATAAAAGCCCGATGTTTGAGAGAGCCCGATCCCGATACCCCATATAGGTAGATATAGAGGGCGCACATCATAAGTGACTGACTGCTGGGCGTACGACGTCAGCACGGCCGCCGGTAAATTTTTTCTTTCTGGTCCCCGGTGTGAGTCTGTACGTTGCATTGTTCTTGCTCTGTGATTCTTTGACCATTTTTAGAAGATCATGGCTGACAATACCGAGCGAACCTTTATCATGGTGAAACCTGATGGTGTAGAGAGAGGTCTAATTCCAGAGATCATGAAGCGCTTTCAACGAAAAGGCTACAAACTGGTAGCCTCAAAGTTCATGAAGGTATAGCCTGTTCAGGCCTATTAATAGGCCTAGCCCAGTTGTTTTCTCACACGTGTGTGTCCCCGGTAGACCAGCAGTAGCCTTTAGGCCTGCTGATGTTTATATTGCCGGTAAAGTTTGGCCCAGCTTCTAAACTAAGCGAGCATCATTCTGTGACTGTTAATTACTGGAATTTATTTCGGTTCGAGCAGTTCAGCTTACCTCAGGCTCAATCACCGAGTCAGTCGGCTAACTACAGCCGAACCGGACGTCATTCGTACTAGGCTAGGCTAGGGGCCTAGCCCCTAGACCTAAATCGGGTAGTCAGTGAGTCACATTGTATGTAGTTGTACTAGGCCTATATAATTAATTGCGGGTCTATCCTAGGCCTACTCTGAAGTCTAGCCTAGGCCTATGTGTACTGAACCATGGAGTTTGGTAATTCAGTGCCATTTTGCTTAGTATTATATCTGTCTCTTATACACATCTAGATGTGTATAAGAGACAGAGTGCACACAGTCACGCTAGTTTAGCCTACTAAGCATGCAGCGGGGCGCCAGAAATTTGCCGACAAGGGCCCAGGATGTCCGACGGTCCGAGCCAAAGGGCCGACGAAGCATCATCATCATCATCATCATCATCATCATCATCATCATCATCATCATCATCATCATCATTCTTCTTTATTAGAAATCCTTGGCTGCTTTTTCTACCGAAATTTCACTCTTCTTTTCATATGATAAAGCATTTTATCCTTAATAATATCATCTATCAACTATCTTCCTCTTCGCTTTTTTGTTTTCCCACATTATAATTATAAGCTCAAACATTATCGTTATTGGAATTTCTCCCCAGGGGATGAGGCTGCACCGTTGTAGTATCCAATTTTCAGGACGAAAATGCACATTGAGCAGGTCTAACACGGATGTGCGTTACAAAATAAAATACTGTAGGCCTACATAGATTATCTGTTGATCATTTTTCGTTGTAACAATTATTACTTCTTGCAAGGTTTGCATGAACAAAAAAATGCAATCTGAATCCTTACGGAGACACTCGTCGTCCAGAGTGAATTTGATGCTAATAAACGTCTGTAACCAAACGATTTGTTGAAAATTTAAAAAAATAAAAAAATTATAATAAATTGAATCTTTTCAAAGTAAAATACTGTAAAAGCCCGATGTTTGAGCCCGATCCCGATACCCCATAGAGCTATTAAACAACTAGAGTGCTGACAAGATGGCGGAGCAATGCAGAGTTATGTATGTGTACCATCCAAGATGGCCGTCGTAGTAAAGCGCCAGCTTCAGGCTTAGTATACATATTATTACCATAAATAAGCCCTCTGACTGACTATTATTTTATTAATGATAATGAGTAATTGTAATAACAAATTATTAAACTATCGTAGCCAAAACGAGGCCAATTGGAGCATCCTATTCAAAAAAAAAGTACCAAAAAATGAAAATTAAAATCGTGTAGATTACGCCCATACACCGCAACGCTCGAGTTTCAAACATGATGTACTGAACGTTCTGTGTAAATTGAGGGCGCAATTGCAAACGACGGCGCTTAGGCGAAATTTGATTGGCTGAATCTATGGCAGCCATCTTGGATGGTACACACACACAGTTCTGCGTATTTCGAACATCGAATACATTGCAGTTAGCGCTCTAGTATTCTTATTATATCTCTATGCGATACCCCCATATAGGTAGATATAGAGGGCGCACATCATAAGTGACTGACTGCTGGGCGTACGACGTCAGCACGGCCGCCGGTAAATTTTTTCTTTCTGGTCCCCGGCGTGAGTCTGTACGTTGCATTGTTCTTACTCTGTGATTCTTTGACCATTTTTAGAAGATCATGGCTGATAATACCGAGCGAACCTTTATCATGGTGAAACCTGATGGTGTAGAGAGAGGTCTAATTCCAGAGATCATGAAGCGCTTTCAACGAAAAGGCTACAAACTGGTAGCCTCAAAGTTCATGAAGGTATAGCATGTTCAGGCCTATTAATAGGCCTAGCCCAGTTGTTTTCTCACACGTGTGTGTCCCCGGTAGACTGTTTATTGCCGGTAAAGTTTGGCCCAGCTTCTAAACTAAGCGAGCATCATTCTGGGACTATTAATTACTAGAATTGATTTCGGTTCAGGCAGCTCAGCTTAGCTCAGGCTCAATCACCGAGTCAGTCGGCTAACTACTAGGCCTAGGATAGGGCCTAGGCCTAAATCGGGTAGTCAGTGAGTCGCATTGTATGTAGTTGTATTATTAGGCCCTAGGCCTATATAATTAATTGCGGGTCTATCCTAGGCCTACTCTGAAGTCTAGCCTAGGCCTATGTGTACTGAACCATGGAGTTTGGTAATTCAGTGCCATTGCTTAGTATTAATGACGTCAGAATGAGGAATATAAATTAATATCAGTGTGAATTGATTTTGAGATGGTTGTGTGTATATAGGCCTATATTTATATATGTGTGTATATATTATATATATATGTATATAATATATGTGTGCAGGCGTGTATTCAAGTTCATGTGTGTATATGTGTGTATA